TGCTGCTGCTGCTGCTGCTGCTGCTGTTGCTGTTGCTAGTGCAGGAGGAGGAGCAGGAGGAGATGGCGTGCGCCTGTGCCTCTGGTTGCCCCCAACTGTTGCTGTACTCTCCAGTGTACGCGCAGCAGAGCCAGGGGTGATGCATGCAGTAGCGGGGCGTTGCAGCTCCCCTGTATAGGAGGCATCAGTATGAGGGTCAGCAGCTAAGCATACAGCTGCTGCTGGGGGGGCTGAGAAAGACTCAGGCTGCGATGGTTGTAATATTTTATACATTTCAACAGACTGAAGATGCTTGGGGGGGTTCTTAGTTCCCGTGCATTTCTTGCTGCCAGAGCAGCAGGGTATATGCATGCAGACAGGGGCGCAGCTGCCTTCTATAATTCCNTGCATTTCTTGCTGCCAGAGCAGCAGGGTATATGCATGCAGACAGGGGCGCAGCTGCCTTCTATAATTCCTTTTACTGTGCCTGCTGCAGCAGCTGCTGCTGCTGCGCTGCGGCGGTTAGATGGCTGCGGGGGCCCCACGGGAGGCATAATTTGTTTTCTCTCTAACGAAAAGATGAAAGGACGAGGGTCCATTGTGGTGTACAGACAGCCGGGTGCTCTGTCTGTCGTTCAGCAGCGAGGGGGGGATTTCCTACTATTATCTTTGCATAATAAGAAGGAAGGAGAAACTAAGAAGGGAGAAACTCAATTAGAGAACATCTTCTTGTTGCTGCTGCAGCAAGGGGAGGCATACTGAACGGCTTGTGCGTCTGTTTACCTGTCGGTTTATTTGTTCATGCGTGGCCGCAGAAAGCGGTGCGAGGAAAGCTGTTTCTCTCTTCTTTAATTAGGGCACTAGAAACTCACAGTGCAGGCAAACATTAACTTACTAACTTCAGTATACACTGCAACACGGCGCTAGCTACTGATAGTAGTTGCGGCACGCTCAAACTCAGCAGCGAAAGTAAAAGGGATGAAAACAACAGGGTTNAGCTACTGATAGTAGTTGCGGCACGCTCAAACTCAGCAGCGAAAGTAAAAGGGATGAAAACAACAGGGTTAATTAGTCTAATTTTGTTTTTATAACATATAAAGAAATACTCATCAGTTTAGGCGCCGGCTTCCATTATACGCTGGTCGGCTGCTGTGCATGCATCTGACGCTCTCCTGGCCTGGTGGAGGTAGGGGGCGAGATGGTGTTTAAATTTTCAGAAAAAAGGCGTTTTAAGAAATATTAATATTTGTTTTACTAGTAAAATGAAAACTGTGGAAAAAAGAATTCGTTTAATGCGTACAGGAGGCGAGCCCGTGGGTGACCTTGGGGGGTCTGAAACAGGTCACTGGGCGGGAGCACCGAAACCTCGAGAGAAATGAAAATGCAAAGTTGAAATAATATTACATTTGCAAGTTTTAAAAACACAGGAAAGCTAATCAGACTTGTAATTCATGAATGGGCTCACAATATGAATACAGTGGAGCAGGTGATACGTCAACTGACAACAAGCAGGGCAGTTCATTCGGCTTCAAAAAAATTTTCTTGTTTTGTGCATAAACAGCATGAATAACGAAATTAATTGATTAATATACACCAAATGATCAGAACAAGAGGCGGAAAAGCACAAACAGCGCCCCCCTATTCCTGCATATTTCAGGAAACTCTGAAACAATTCAACTCTGAACGCCGATTGCAACTCCAAAGAGATGGTTATTTCTCGCTGTGACAGCACGATTATGCCCATATTCATGTTTAAATAATTCTATATGTTTCCTTTATTCACACTTCGTGGCATAGTTACATATATATTTGTGTTGAAACGAGTTCTGCAAGTTTCCTTTCGGCATCCTTTGCATAGTATATATTGCACCATATTCCGTGTATACGGCTCTTAACAAAAGCCACATGCATTATACCACAGACTATCAACATTCTTCCTTAAATACAACACCTGAATTCCCCCATAGGGCTCCGATAAAATCAGAAAAAGGCGAGGAAGCAGAGAAGGGGTTCAATAGCGTTTACGTGTGCAGAGGGTATCTATGGGTCAGCATAGAAGCGGTGGTTTCCCTGAAACATTTCTGCTTTCAAAATTTCCTTTGGCTGGTGCGTGTTATCTCCGCCTCGTTTCAGTTTGCCTTTTAGTTTTTAGCTACCTTGCTGCTCTTACAAACTCAGCACCGTTTCCTTTTTCGTTTCTCTTGGTGGGCTTTACATCAGTTCGTTCAGCCATATAAACTGTAGAACCAAAGAGCAAGCAGTGAGTGAAAGTTGCTTTCTATAGTTTCTTTCTCGTTCACATGCTGCTTCTCTTTTGCTGTTCCTTCCTGTTTGTGTTCTTGTTGCACTCCTGGCGGTTCTTTGTTGTTTTTTCCGTCATTTTCTGCTTTTTTGTGTTCCACTCGAGGCTTCGGAATAAAATCTATTCTGTAAGGCCTAGAGAAAGTCTTACAACTAGGATAAAAATACACAAGAATTAGTGGTGATTCAAGAAGCAAATGATACTCGTCAGGGGAATAGGTTTAGGGTTTAGGGCTAGTAAGCTTTTGCTCTGACCCCGGTACACCTACTGCTGCTAGCACCACTTTTTTTTGTGCCACTGGAAAGCTATCAAGGAAAAGAAAGCGAAATGGGGAAGATCATACAAAGAAAATACGAGACAAGCCCATTGAAAAGTGTGGGTTTAGATACAGCTCGCACGCGCAGGGTACTGCTAGCAGAGGGAGCAGAAATATAGAATAGCATCGCCGAGTTCTATATCAGAAAGGGGGAATATATGTTCCAGCAGCAGTAGCTGCACAAAGACCAGATTCTGTTCCTGGTTGACGCTAGGATGTATATATATAAGAAAGAAAACTGACATATATCAGCACCCTCAACCTCAGACTCCTTTACAAAGGAGGTATAGTAGAAGCATAGCCATATCTATCAGGAGTAACAAAAGTAAGCAGCATCAGCAGAAACAATTCAGATATTTCACCTCATCATTTTCTCCCGTTCTGTGATCTGTGTGTTCTG